TTATTCACTTGTATAGGGGAATCATATAAAGAAAAGTTTCTAGAATTTTCAGAAATATATTTGAATACATTAGCCAGATCAGGAGTATTCATGATCATAAGCTTTTTATATTGGCAACTACTTCCTTTTCTGTTACAAACACATAACCAATAGAAAAAGGGATTAATTACTAATGACTGTTATGATGCATTCTTAGGACACCTCTGATTTATATGACTTCTGAAATAGCTCTCCTCTCAAGTGATTAAGATAATTACACCATGTAGTAGTTACTGTCAAATGGCTATTATGATGCTATCTTAGGACACCTCTGATTCATATGAAGATATATTGCTTCTGAATAGCTGTTTGCAATCATTACTTCTTTTGTTATAGTAAGCATTTTAATCATAAGCCTTACAATCTGCCCCCTCTGATATTTCTTTTAAATGGTAAATAATCTTTTGTGTAATACTAAGATAAGCCACTTTTAAGTCTGGAGTTAATATAGTTAGAGGTGAATTTCGTCTTTTTAATGCTGAAGAATTGCATATGAAATAACTGAATAAATATTATTTGTGTTAAGTGTTCATGATGAAATGCTTTATCAGACTAGAGTCTTTGAAATAACCATGTAATCATTATGCTTTTCTGAAGACACTGTTTAGAATTTTTGTTATTCACTTGTATAGGGGAATCATATAAAGAAAAGTTTCTAGAATTTTCAGAAATATATTGATGAATACATTAGCCAGATCAGGAGTATTCATGATCATAAGCTTTTTTTTTATATTGGCAACTACTTCCTTTTCTGCTACAAACACATAGCCATAGAAAAAGGGATTAATTACTAACGGCTGTTATGATGCATTCTTAAAACACCTGATTTATATGAAGATGTACGACTTCTGAAATAGCTCTCAAGTGATTAAGATAATTACACCATGTAGTTACTGTCAAATGGCTATTATGATGCTATCTTAGGACACCTCTGATTCATATGAAGATATATTGCTTCTGAATAGCTGTTTGCAATCATTACTTCTTTTGTTATAGTAAGCATTTTAATCATAAGCTTTGCAATCTGCCCCCTGTGATATTTCTTTTAAATGGTAAATAACCTTTTGTGTAATATTAAAATAAGCCACTTTTGAAATTATATATTTCATTTATTTGTAGAGAGGAATTGGTTATCATAAGCTTTTTGATGTTGGTAACTATTTTCTTTTCTGCTACAAATACGTACACCATAAAAAAGTGATTGATTACAAATGTTGTATAGTAAGATTAAACTAACATCTCTACATATACTAAAAGAAAGAGCCTGTCTCTGTGTGTGTCTTTCGTTCGTGCTGCGTGTAAGCTAATAGACCCACAACTACGAAATTTGGTACACGGGTGCATCTAGACAAAAGCCAGTGTACCTCGAAGTGATTTTTTTTTTTTTTTTTTTTTTTTTTTTTTTTTTTTTTTTTTTTTTCGAAATTCGAATTGAACTTTTTTATATTTTATGTTTTGTGACGAAATCGCATCATTTTGAGACATAATGCACTATAGGAAAGCAAGATTTTATGCTACACACTCCATTTTCACATCGTCATGAAACGTAGGCACTTAGTTATTTTACAAACTTAAAATAAATTTCGTGCTTCAATAAATCAATTGAATATGAATTTATTTAACAAAGTGAGCTTAACACCTTTTAAATGGAATTTTTTAAAAAAATTTACAGTTTATTTTTCTTTGATTTTTGGATATGTTAAACTTTTATCGACTGCTTTTACAAAAAGAATTTTGGAAAAATGATATTTTGTATTTTTAAAACTTTTCAAATGAAACTTCCGAGTACACTTCTCACATTCTCACATCTTTAAAAATGTGATTTTGGCAACAATTTTCCTGTCTAATTGTTGATAGATTTTTGATGAATAGCATCATTTTGAGTAGTTTCATTCTTTTAGAAATATGGGTTTGGCAACAATTTTTCGTAAGCCTTGCCTCATTAATGTTTTCTGTTGTATTTCTTGTCATTTTTTTTAAGAGATTGGCATATTTCATTGCCATTTATACAGGGGTTGGACAAAAATATGGAAACACCTTTAAAAAAACATGTTTCTTTGGTTAATATGGTGTAGGAAACCCGTTGGCATCCAAAACAGCTTGCAGTCTTCTCGGAATGGATAAATACAGTTCCTGTATGTTTGCCAAGGGAATATTATACCATTCTTCCTGCAAAATGGTGGCAGGTTCAGATAACAATGTTGGCGGTATATAACGAGAACGCACTTTCCGTTCCAATGTAGACCACAAAGGTTCGATAATATTCAGGTCTGGTGACTGTGGTGGCCAGGGGAGATGGGACAACTCATCCTCGTGCTCAGAAAACCAGTCCTGTATAATGTGAGCTGTGTGAACAGGGGCTTTGTCGTCTTGGAAGACACCATCACCATCGGGGAACAAAGTTTGTACCATGGGATGAACTTGATCGGCCAAAATGTTCACTTAAGTCTTGGCAGTCATGTGCCCTGACACAGTTATCATGGGGCTAGCAGAGAATCACGATATGGCTGCTCAAACCATAACAGAACCCCCACCATGTTTCACTCTTGGCAACAAGCAGTCTGTATTATAGGCTTGAGATGGCATTCTCCAGACCTAAACTCGGCCAGAAGTGGGAAACAATGTGAAAGAAGACTCGTCAGACCATATTACTTGCTTCCACTGCTTTATAGTCCAGGCTCTATGACTTAAACGCCACCTTTTCCTGTTACGGGCATTAGCATCACTGATAAGTGGCTTCTCAATTGCAGCACGGCCAGCAATTCCCTGTTTATGAATCTCCCTTCTAATTGTTTTGGTACTCACAGGGTTCGGTAACACAACATTCATTTCAGCAGTAACTTTTGCAGCTGTGGTCTTCTTAATTTTCGTCACAATTGCCCTTAATGATCGTCTGTCACGATCACTCAGGACACACTTTCGTACGTGCTGTGATTTAGCAGATGATGTTTTTCCGCTTTTCAAATATGCGGAATAAATTTTCGATACAGTACCTCTTGAAATACTAAACACCTCGGCTACCTTGCTTATGGAAGCACCTACCATACGTGCTCCAAGAATTTGCCCACGTTCGAAGTCTGTTAACTCTGACATAATGCAATGACAACCTCACATAACAGTACTCCGACAACGACTGAACTGTTTAGCACATTTACGAAGTTGTATAGGTGGCGTCAGTAGTTGAAAACGCCACCTACATATTTTATTAAAATCAATCTTTCTTTTCAAACATGCATTTTACAAGGTGTTTCCATATTTTTGTCCATCCACTGTATATATGTAATACATTTTTATTGATTTTTTGATAAAGTTGTTCTGTAGAGTAAAATTCTAGTGGAATTTTATGTTTGAGTTGCTTTCATGTTATTTTTTGCTTGTTTCACTGTTTGTAAGATATTGAAAAGTTTTGTATGATTTTTTCTTCTTGGTTAATTTTTTATTACGATAATTAATATTTGTATTAAGGGATATAGCTTATTTCATCGTAATTTTTTTCTCTTGAAAATCTATAATAATAAAAGCAAGTGTAATGTGTCTGTCTGTCTGACCGAGCTCTCCAGCCAAATCTATCGCACGCAGGGACCTGGAATTTTTTATACGGAAGCACAAGGGGGCTGGCCACCAGACCTTGAAGCCCGATTTTCGATTTTTTGAATTAGAAAAATTTTAAAAAAATTATTTTATAATTAATTAATCACGGTTTTTTTGACTCACTGATATTATTATTTGTTTTCAAATAACGTTCGATTGTAACAATTGATTTCTTTATTCTAGCGTTAGTTTGCTGTTTTGACGATTACATAAATCGATTAATTACAATTCATTTCTTTTTTGTAGCTTGTGGGGGGGGGAAGAGAGAGAGAGAGACAGTCTACATGTCCTACACTACTATTCCTGCGCTCTATTCACTTATCTGCATTTTCTAAATGCACGGGCAACGCCGGGCGGGTACACCTAGTATAAGATAAAATATCATTAATTTTACTTAGCTTTTCAGAATTTTTTGTATTCTGTTTTTATTTATTGCTCATTTCACTGTTTTTAAGATATTGAAAAGTTTTGAGTGATTTTTTTAGGAAACAAAGTTCTTAACCTCCTTTATACCATTTGAGTTTTTAAGATTTTGCAAAGGGAAGTTGGTTAATTTATTTATTAGGATAATTAATATTTGTATTAAGGGATATTGCTTATTTCATCATTTCAGATATTGGATGTCTGGATTTCATACTTTCATAGATTTCATTTCAGAAGTAACTTCAGCAAGAAAAATTATCTGCTGAATTCTTAAGCCCTTTTCTATATATTCGTTTGTCTTACTACTAATTTTGTCAGTTCTATTTTTGAAAATACTTCAGTGATCTGTACGAGATCATTATTTGGATATTGGTAATGATGAAAAATCTGAGGCTATGTAGTCATAGAATATGTGAAATTCTTATCTGCGTATTAAAAGCAATATTAATTTTTTGTATCAGAAAATTTTTTCAGATATTTATAAGCTAAAATATTAAAATTTATACTGTAATAAAGAAAATTATAAAAGTAGTAATATGATTTAATTTGTTTTGGCATTCATAATTTTCTTATGTTTCAAAGCTAAATTTTTATTTTCTGAATTTGCAGTGATTTTATTATCTAATTTTCTTAAATGATAGGAAAATACGGCTAAAATTAAAACTTCATACAAGTATTGTTTTTATCATTTTGTGTGTATTGTGCTGTATTTCTGGGTGCCAATTTCAAGTAATTTATTTTTTTGTAAATAATTAGATAGATACATTATAGTTTTAAGCTACAAAAATTAATCTTTAAAATATGACATTATTTTAACCAGAGGTTTGGTTCAAATTTCATATCAAAAGTAATATAAGAAAGTTCACAGTTATAGTTTATGTAAGCAGTAAATATCTAAAAACATTATTTTGGTTATAAATCCATTGACATTTAAATAATTTTTGTAGGACAGTGTGCTATTATTATGTTTGATGTTACTTCACGTGTTACTTACAAGAATGTTCCAAATTGGCATCGTGATTTGGTTCGTGTGTGTGAAAACATTCCAATTGTACTCTGTGGTAATAAAGTTGATGTCAAAGACAGGAAAGTTAAAGCTAAAGCAATTGTTTTCCATAGGAAAAAGAATCTTCAGGTATGTTTATAATTTTATAACTTTTGGATTCTCTAAGTTGCTGTTACATTATTTTACTGAAAGCTGAAGTATTGATAAAATGGTTAAAATCTTTCAGTGATACCTCTAATTATTTTAATGATATCAAGCCTTTATCAGATGTTTGCATGTTTTCTGTGTAAAATAATTACAAGGATAAAATTCTGTAATATTTATTTTTCTGTACCATTTTTCCAGTATTATGATATCAGTGCCAAAAGTAATTACAATTTTGAAAAACCCTTCTTGTGGCTGGCTAGAAAGTTAATTGGTGATCCCAACTTAGAATTTGTTGCTATGCCAGCTCTTGCACCTCCTGAAGTACAGATGGATCCTGAATGGCAAGCTAAATTAGAAAATGACATGAGGGTATGTCTTCTTTTATTTTTTTTTTTTTTCCAGTTAAAGTAGGAAGTATGACTATTTTTTGTGTGTGATGTATAAGGGGTGTTCAAATGAAAAGGTATAAAACGTCATAACAACCAAACTGGTTGAATATGCTGCTTTGGAGTAACGTAGCAAGGCATCTAAGGACGCAAATGTAGTGTCCGATGTGGTTGTGCACATATGTGAACACCTGTACATGACGCAGGAGTCAAGAAGGCAATTGTTTCGTCCAATTCATTCGGAAGTTCGTGTAATGACATCTTAGCATTCACATTGCCAAATTTGATGATTGAGGAGCGTGAGAAACACTGAGTGATCTGACGAGGGCATTCCTTGACTTGAGATGGATCGGGAAACGTGCGAATTATACCAGCAGCCTGGCTCGTTGCTTGATTCAGTGCTCATATTTAGAGACTAATTTTCTGCTCAAGCTTACCTTGTATATAGATGTTCTCATACCTCAAGGTTCCACTGTACTAAGTTTTATAAATCAGCTGCTTAAACCTGTTTTCAGTTGACCCTTTACAAAATTTGCAACTTTAGGTTGCAATTTTATTGCACTGCTGGCTAAATTAAAAGTGCTTTTGAAAGTGCATGGCTGCAAATATAAAGCAATTACATTTACAGTACATATTAAATACTTTGTTAAACTTTTCCTGTGTTATTTGGAAAAAGTTTATTCTTGCATATGAAGTTGACTAGTTTATGAAATAAAACTAAAATATATTGATTCCATTATAATGTTATTCGTAAAAAAAGGTACCTATTAATGTAAAAAAGGTTTGTATAAGTGTAAGGCCAGATATAAATAAATAAATAAATGTATACGTTTGTTTTTAAGCCTTTATTTAAATAATACAGCTAATGCTTCTTGAATTTTGCTGCTTTAAACAAGTGTAAGTTTAATCTTTTTTAGCATTTTGAAGTTCTTTGGTTTCATCCATACCTGTTCTTTGCATGTTGGTTTTTTGGCCTGTCTACGAATCAGGTCAACAAAAGACTGCAAAATTCTCTGAAGAGAAGATTATATGTCAGTTAAAATCCCCTGAAAAACATTTGAACATAGTATCACATGCTTTCATTTTCAGAAAGTGCTTAATTTTTTATACAAAGCTTTATAAATTAATTAAGATTAGTCACATTTTTATATTAACACTTGTACTAATCTCTAATGTATTTTATTTCAGGAAGCTCAAAACACATCACTACCTGATGAAGATGATGATGATCTGTAACTTGTTAGTTTCTACAGCTCCATCCATTTGTATACATCTTCCTTTTATTTATGTAAATTTTTTGAACTTGTACAGTTAACTGCTCATGTGAACCGAAATGCTTGTATTTTGTTTGTGTGTATCTTTTGTCTAAGCCTACCTGTTGAACTATTTTTAAACATTAAAAGAAAGTTTCACATACAATCTGTGATAACAAGGTAGAATTCAAAATTCTGAATTTTTGAGAAATGTGCCTATAAAAACCCATTATCATTGTTGACTGTCATACGCACTGAAAGAACTCGATAGTTTTCTATATAGATGTGCCCTTGCCTAGTCTGTCTTGTAAAGAGCACCTTTAAAAAGATGGGCCTTTCAGACAACCATACATTTCAGTCCCCCAAGAGGAACAAACCTTAATGCTACCAGCTTTCATTTAGTGCTTTAATTAACATACTCATTCATTTTTTTTATTTTTGTTTAGATTGTGGCAAACATTTAGATTATTCATTTCATGATTTTATATTTGTATGAATGTTAAAACTGCTTAGATTTTGAATGAGAGTGATTTTCTTTTTTTTTTTTTTTTTTTTTTTTTTGTGTAAGACACCTGTTTAAATATGACATTTTATGCTGAATATTTTTTAATTTAGATAAATTTTAATAAAATGAATTCATTGAGATTTGTTAAACATCAAATTACTTTGATCAATATAATAAAACAACTATCTTACTGCTGTGTAGTAAAAGCCATTTGAAGAATTCTGAATATTTTAATTCCATATTTGATTTATTAAAGATCTTAATGTGCTTGGATAAAATGAATTTTCATTGGCGCTTCCCCATTAAATTACTTTAGCAAGGCCCCCTGTTGATACATCCACAGCTCATTGATATATCCATATTTGTGTGTAAATCATATTTTAAGACAATCCATATTATTACTTATTCATTATCATTTGCTGTTTGTATTTTGATTTTTTTAAGAAGTTTTAAAGAACAAACATTTGGTTCAATTTCCTTGATATTATTAATGGCAATATGTAATAGCATTCAGCATTGTTTCTAAACAGTTTGAAAGGCATTAATTTTGTCTATCATTTAGTTAAATAATTTAACAAAACGGTGGAGTCTTGTTGAATTTAATAAAAATGGAATGTTTTGCTTTATTTACAAGTGAATTTTTTAAAAAATCCTCTGTTAAACAAACTTTACCAAAATCCATTTTTATAAACATTACTTAAACTATGCAGCATAAATGACTATTAAATTTCAGTTTAATGATGCTGCACACCAGATAACGCCAGTTACATGGATTGGACTTAAGTTTTGAGCATTGATGGAAAAATAATTTTTGCTGTACTAATATGAGTTGTCAACTGTTTCACTTAGTTATTGTTTGTCTTAAGTGACATCTCTTTATTGTGAAACTCGTGTACGTAGTCTTAAAAACGTTTGTTTGCTTAAAATATGTAGTGGTTGAAGAAAAATGTGAGTTCTTTTGTTCTTTTCAGGCCACAAAAAAGTGTTTGAAACCAGCAACTTCTCATGTTTTCAATTTGTCCTAGCTAATAAGTTTTTTTCTAGTGTCTTATAACACTGTTCAGTTCCAAATTCTTCATTTCATTAATGACAACACATTCTTTAAACTTTAGATTTAGCAATATAACTAACTCAAGTCTTTCATTTTAGAATTCATAGAACTTCTGCAGACATTTGTTTCATACTTTGCAAATTCTGATAATTCGAACATTTCTGTTTTGTCCCTTTGCATTCTGGAGGTAGATAAATCTTCATTGCTAAGTGAATTGCTACAGAGCAGCAGTCAACAACTTCATGGACCGCTTCATATAATTTTATATTTGGCAGGTCACTAATATGAATTAAAAAAGGTAAATACGTTTATACAATAATAATCAGAAAACTACACACATTTCGTTCACATTCAAAAATTGTATGAAAAGTATAAAAGTCTTTCCTTCTTGTACAGAAAAGGAACTTCAACAGATGCAGAGCAATATCAATAAACTTAGTGTTAGCCGCCAATTTTTAATTATTGTAAACATAATAATCATCGCTTACCCTTGCTCAGCAATGGCATCAATCAACAGTCTAACAAAACAAAAATAAGCTTCTAGTTATTCATTTACAAACAAGAATGCAGATGGTTTTCATAAAAATCCATAAAGTTGCCTTTTGACATGGATTAAAACTGTAATGGCTACAATAGCATATGTTTGTAGTTTAAAAGGAAGGAGAATTCCAGTTCCTGCTATTATTGATAACAGTAGCATATATGTGGATGCCAAATCTCATTTTCAAATATATCTAGTAGTAAAAAGTAGCTAAAAATTCGTTAAATTCAGAAGGAATTTTGCTAAAATTAAAAAAAGTATAATACATATTCCATAATAGGGTTTGTTATTCGTCGTGTTCGTAACTAAATTTTCATAACAATATAAAGTCCCAGTTTTTCTGCGGACCATCAAAATGGTTTCATGGGCCACCAGTGGGCGATCCCTGCTATAGGGACAATTTTCAGATATTTTTAATGTTGAAGTAGGCTTTGATTTTGAAATACTCAAATGTTTCCAAGTAATGCATATTTTTCATGTATATATAATATACGAGGTAGAACACAAAAAAAGACCAGTCGAAATTGTACTTACGGAATCAGTTCTCCATGGCATTATCACTTTCAAAGGAGACCTGTTCTGCATTCGGTGCTGGCATTGCTGGTAACAGTTCTGGAACGAGGTTTTTGGAAGGCCCTTCAAGAGATTCTACGTTTTTGCCTGAACATCTTCAACTGAGGTAAAATGACTTTCCTTTTAGCAAGATGTAACTGTAGGAAGTTTAAAAAAAAAAAAAAAAATTTTTAGCGGAGCGAAATCAGGTGAATAAGGAGGATTGTCACCATCACAGTAATGTTTTTGCTGGTCAGAAATTGCCTGACAGAATGACAGATACGGCCGTGGGAGGGGGTGCATTTTTCTGGTGCAACAGCCATCCATCACTCCCCAACTGTGGCCATTTTTTCACAAAGTACTTTTTAGTACTTCAGTGTAATAGTGTTGATTGACAGTCTGACCGCTGGGAATGATTAATTAATTACAATTGATTCATTACAATTGTTACATGAATGTGATGGGCAGCAGTTTCATCATCTTCCACACTTTCCTTCCGCTTTAAAACTGCTAATGCCATTCAAACACACGTGTATGAGTCAGTTTAATGTTTCCTAGGTGGCTGATTTCTTAGGTTTCACAAGAAACTTGATGTTGATTAGCTGTTGTTTTTTTACATTAGACATTTTTCTGGCAGAATGCAGTTGCATATGTTCACTAAATAACAGTACTCCCAACTGGCGTGATTAATTCGAAACTGGCCGTATTGATTGAGGAGTTGTGTCGCACGACATCTCCAAAACAGTTATTGCCAACTCCACTCTTATTTTTTTGCACACCTGGTATATGCACACGCATTGCACAATAATCCATACATAGTTATTTTTTGTTACTTGCATTTTGGTCAGATGAAATTCCTAATACAAATCAGAGTTAACTTTCTTGAGCTGCTTGGCTTTTTGGAGCTGCTGAAACAGCATTTATTAGCCAAATTTGCATTCCTTTTGTATGGTTTACCAAACCTTCTATTCGTTAGAATAATTAATATTTAGGAATGCAAATCTCAGATTTTAATAAAGTTATTGTATCATTCAGAGGGTTAAAGTTAATAATCAATCAGTACAATCTCTAATATGTTGTTTAAAGATCTGTGTCAAATTTTTTACGGAAATTGAAATAAACTGTGAAAACAGCATGTATAACAACAAAAACAAATTTTTAGGAGATAAACTTCATAGCAGTTCAAGTGCACTAATCAGATTAGAATATATCAATAAAAGCATATTTTGGCAGAATGAATTCATACTAAATTCAGATACCATAATCTGAAAATTATATTTGAAATGTTTATTTTTTCACAAAGCAAAACTGGATTCCTCCATACTTTTATATTTCATACCTCGATTGTATTACAAATTACACCAGGGTTGTCACGCTAGCAGAAAAATTAGAAAATTGACCAAAAAGGTCTGGGATATTTAATCAAAATCTGGAAAAGTCAGGGAAATTCATGCTGTGATTACATGATGAGCAGTAAACATTTTGGTGTTGGTGTGAATTTTAAAGATCGTTCCAAGGGCATCGAAGCGCATACTACTAGGATTTTACCGCAAAATCGTTTAGACTTTTTCCCTCGTTTTAATAAATGCCTTATTTGTCATTTTGCAGTAAAATAAAATACTTGTAATTAGTCATCTGGGCTAACCATTTAATGTAACTAACTATATTCACTAAAATATCATTGATTATTCTAATTCAATTTTTAAGTTTTTTTATTTTGATTTATTATTAGTAAATAATACTTTCAAATTTCTGGAAATTTTCTCCGGCATAATCCTAAAACTAATTCTAGCAGTATGATGACATCACGAAACTTAATGCACATATTTTTTGCTTATGTGTGCTGCTGAATAAATATAAAATACCTGAATTTATTAAAAAATATCATTAGATTTCTTCTTTTAGTTGCAAAATGTCAGGGAAAAAAATTTAATCCAGATTGGGCATCTTCTTTGGAAAAAAATAACTATAATAGGAAGATTATATACATTATGTATATATGTAATTGGTGAATTTTTGTGTAATTTTGTTTTTGGTAACACAATTTACCTTCTAGAATAGCTAATGTGCATTATGTGTATACATTGGAATTTTCTTAAAACACACCTGGAAAAGTCAGGGAATTTCATTCTCCCGTTTGAGTGGCAACCCTGTTACACCTACAGAATTTAACTGTTAAGTATTTTTTAGTAATTTTAAAATTTGAAGTATTTTTATAATATATTGTTAAATCATTAAATTTTCTGTTACTAGAAAATCAATTCTATAATCATCAGAAATAAAAATTTTTGTTTTGCAATTAAATTGAATTTTTTGACTGTGTTCATAAATTTCTATTCGTACAAGTAAAATTGCTAGTAAGTATTAAAGTAGACATACAAGTTTGTATAGAATATTTTGGCCTTAATGGATTTATTGAATCTTATTTACAAATAAGAAAAAGATTTGGTATTGCTTTTACTTCCTCAGTAAATTTTTAAAATTTGGGAAATATTAAATTTTTGTTGGTTTAATATTGTATTGATGTAAATAGGCAACATAGTTATGCAGTTATGTGTATTCAATATCAGAATCGGCGCTCATATGGTTCTTAATTTCAGCCAAAATCAGCAGAAGGTCCGTAATCATCTGAAATTTCTGTTTTTACGACTGCCATTTTTAGAATGAATTAAATATTTTGAAGGAATATTTTTGGCTATTTACTGACAAATAATATCTTTTGAATGGTTTCGTTAGTTATAATTTATTCCTATTTTTAACACAGTAGAATACTCGAGTCTCTGAGCAAGAAGTGAAACAAAAGCATTTTAAAATTTCAATTTTTGTGCTTAAGAAAGTACAAGTTTCCTAAAACTACTATGAGAACAAATTATATTTTGATTTTAATGTAAAAACTCTCCTAATATTTCATACCTGAATTTTTCTTTTGATATATTACCTTAATATGCACATATATATATGTTCTTGCATATATCACAAAAAATATTCTAAGGCCACATATATATGGCTTTGCTGCTTAGAGGGTTCAACTTTTTCCTTTGGGGAATGCAAATTCTTTTATTAAACACTTCTAAATTTGGTGACTTATCAACATTTGGGGGATTTTAAAATAGAATGCTATAGAAAACTTTTTATTTGGAGAATTTTCAAAGCCCCCTAAACATTATAACATTGATAAATCTCATTAAATAATAGTAATATTATAGTTAGAGAAAATAACATTGAAATAAAACGTAATTTATCACTTTCCATTTTAGCAACTTAAACAATATTTTGACTCTGAAAAATAAACAAGGTTTTAAATGCTATTGAAGTACAATTTAAGAAACAATTCTTAGCAAAAGTAAAATAGGTATGCTATTAATAAAAATATCTCCTTTTAAATTTTTTTATTGGAAGTTTTTCCACGTGTAATTGCCTTAGAAAATGCATCATTTTTTCTACAACATTATAATTCTTACTTTTTCAAAATGTTTTTGCCT